GGGCCATTTTGAATAGCTGCTACTGTAGTTGTATTACAAAGAGAAATCTTCCAAGAACAAGACCAGCAACAACCCAATAATGAAGAACCAACCCAAACAGACTGCTGGGGTTCTTTCCCATTGGCAGAGAAAACGCTGCAAATACCCCTGGGAATGTAGAGATCTGCAGACCTGACAGTCCAACATGGTGGACGCCCCCATAGGCTGGGAAAACTGAAGATTGAAGTCTCAACAACTAGACGTTGATTAGGCATATACCACCACTATAAAGCAGAAATGTGGACAGGCTATGCCATCCAGGAGCCCATGCTAAAATCCCAGTCCAGTATGGAATCAAGAAAGTGCTAGAAGTGCCACTGGTGCAAAGAGGTACGAGGTACTAGCCACAAGGATCCTAAATAGACGGTTTTATCCCTTAAAGTCAGGGTTAGACATATTAAGCAGAGCCTTTAAAAGTCTTATGACATAAACCCAGAAGGTACTCCGCTTTACACGCTGGTTTAAATGCTGATAGTTTAGTCGGAAATTACTTCAAAGTCACATGACTTACATTGGGTGATGGTTCAGGTTGCCTTAGCCTGCTCCTGGACTGCCTATCAGCTTCCTGTTCCCTGTGGCGAGGCGGTTCCCCCTCGATGAAGGCGATGTAGTCGTTGTAGGAGCAGGTTGGACCGGCCAGAATCCCCATGAAGTTACAGTTGTAGCTAAAATACTCCAGGAGACTTGGGATGCGCCTAAAGGAACAACCAAACACATCAGTACTCCAACTCCGACCTGCAGAGGCCAACTGCTTTAAACTCAACTTTAAATACAATGAGGTTAAGAAAAAGCAACCTTATGGCTAAAATCTTCTGTCCCGGGGTCAGCTGTTCTTCCCTCCGAGCCATTCCTGCCAAAACAACAGAGACCTTTTGAACCCGTTCCGCCCAGTGTTGCTAAACTACCGCAGCAGCAGCTCACCATCATGGATTTCAAAGGCCAGGCTTGTGATCTTCTGAGTTATGACCATCATGGGACTGGAAAAGAAAGAAAAGCAGCACATCAGTAACTCACCGACTCAAGATTTTTTAACTGATAGACAGACAAGATGGTTATACCCAGTGAAGTCAGCAGAGTACATGCCGTAGTCAAACACGTAGACCCGGGTGATCTGGCACAGACTCAGGTAACCGAGAGCTACTATGAGGCAGTACCTGCAGTCAGAGGAGAGTCAGACCAACAATACTTTAATGATTCTGTTTAAATCAATGCTTTCCCAACATTTTAGCATCCAGTAGCTTCACCTCAGACTTTCCAGACTCATGACACAGAATTGCAAGTCTCTGGTTTTATTACAGGGTTTATACAGGAATGAGTAACTCTAATTTAATGCTCTTTTAATGCTCTTAGAAATAACTTTAATGCCATCAACAGGTACCCATGACTCTATATGCAAGCAAATCTAATAATTTCACTCACCTCTCAAATATTCATTTAGAGTATTGATTTTGTAAAATAGACTTTTTATCAGTAAATCAGTATTGCTTCTATTGGCTAATCAAAAGTAAGCTAGGCTACATGCTAGCAATGAATGAGTTAAAACTATACCTCCCCGTAGCGCATCGCCCTAAACTCACACCTATTGATTAAATATGAACAATAAGGAACGTTTTAAACATATTCTTAATGTTTTCATATTTCTTATACATGGATGCCTCAAAATTGATGGTTTTGGTGGACAGAAGAATTCTAATAAATACAATTAATACAGTTGTACTTGCACGTTTTAGTGAATGTGCTACAGTCAGTGT